GCTCATATGCTTGCCTATATAAAGTAAGCATAATCAATAAGGTGTGTACTGAAGTTGTTCTTTTAATATCACCATTTTAAATACATTAAGGCATTTTAAGTGTTTTTCACCATGTTTTGTCACGCTGTTTAGTGATTGAAATATTGCAGTGGGTGCATATAATATGGATTGCAAATGGCCAAAACTTGCATTTTGTTCACATATCTGTGTTTTATTCTTTTGAGAGGTGATCTGAATCTTTGCAGCTTGGTAACAGATGGAAAATGGACAGGCTTGTGCTGCAGTTCTATGGATGATTTGCCCTCCAGGACTTCGAGCCGGTCGGTGTTCTGTTGATTTGTGTTACTTCCCATTATAACAGTGGGTAGTACAATTCGACTATGAAAAATGCTACCTGTCAAATTATGGTTTATTAACATCTACACCTACCCCAACCCTAAACCTACCCTTACAGCAATGCAAATACAGTAATTATGTGTTACTCAGGGTTGTGGCTAGAAGGGATACAGCTACGGCTGGAAAACAACAATAAATTAATTTTTTCTAGCTATTAGATTGTGTTTTAGATATTAGATCGTACATATACTATCAAGTCAATTCAAGTCACCTTTATTTATATAGCGCTTTATACAATACTGATTGTGTCAAAGCAACAAAGCAGCTGCGCTACTTTCTGAAACGCATTTAAATGATTTAAACAGCCATTCAGATTTTTGTATTCGCAGTGGTGTTCATCGCAGCACTGAATACTTAAACACTTATTAGGCTATTTATTTTCAAACTTTTTTACATTTTAATCTGGACAACAATATGCCCTAGATATTTGCAATTTTTTGGCGCGTAGAGGATTACATGATGTGACGTTAACCAGAAATGAAACTAGACATATTTTGCAGCAGTCCACAGTTCGCTTTTTGTTGTTGTTGTTGTTTACATTTGATATCTCTGTTATGAATGTTTTGCTTTGTTTCATCGTGTATGCCTTGTAATAGCTTGGTTTCTATCTTGGTTTCATTGCCCAGAAATATTACCAAACAGTGCCATTTTGCTGTGACGTTCACCTTTTGTAATGGTCAGTAAGGCTTTTTCAGGTGTTTAACAAATGGAAGACCACAGTGGAATAAAGAGGTCTAAGCCATATTAAACAAAATCATAATGTCTGCTTTTAATTAGCTAACCTGCATTAGCCAGTGTTCTGTCGACTTGTGCAACCCAGTCAGATTTAGCTACCTCCCATTAAAACAGTAGGTAGTACAATTCGACAACGAAAATGCTACATGTCAAATTATGGTTTATTAACATCTACACCTACCCCAACCCTAAACCTACCCTTACAGCAATGCAAATACAGTAATTATGTGTTACTCAGGGTTGTGGCTAGAAGGGATACAGCTACGGCTGGAAAACAACAATAAATTAATTTTTTCTAGCTATTAGATTGTGTTTTAGATATTAGATCGTACATATACTATCAAGTCAATTCAAGTCACCTTTATTTATATAGCGCTTTATACAATACTGATTGTGTCAAAGCAACAAAGCAGCTGCGCTACTTTCTGAAACGCATTTAAATGATTTAAACAGCCATTCAGATTTTTGTATTCGCAGTGGTGTTCATCGCAGCACTGAATACTTAAACACTTATTAGGCTATTTATTTTCAAACTTTTTTACATTTTAATCTGGACAACAATATGCCCTAGATATTTGAATTTTTTTTTAATCTTTATTGTTTGGTCGCACCTTAAATTAAGGCTATATTAGTTAACATTGGTTAATTCCTTAATTAACATAAACTGCCAAAGAACAAAATCTTCTAAACATTCATTAATCTTAGGTCATTTCAATATTTAATAACACATTGTTAAAATCAAAAGTGTATTATTTAATGAACCCGAGCTAACGTGAACTAACAGTTGTATTTTTTAACAAAGATGAATAACTTCAGTAGCAAATGTAGCTATTGCTCATTGTTAATGTTAATGCATTAGCTAAGGTTAACTAATGAGTTCTTATTGTAAAGTGTTTATAATTCTTTTGCACTTTAATCTGTGTGAAATGTTTTACTTTATACATTTTTTTGTATTGCTTTGTTGTATTTAAATGTTCAGTTCCTTTTGTTATAAGAAAAACGCTGTTAAACTTGTTATACTGTATTACATTTACATTACATTTAGCAGATGCTTTTATCCAAAGCGACTTACAAATGAGGACAAAGCAATCAAAATCAACAAAAGAGCAACGATATACAAGTGCTATAACAAGTCTCAGTTAGCTTAATGTTTTTTTTTAATTATATAATAAAATGAAAACAGATAGAATGAGAATAGAGCAAGCTAGTGTTAGAGGTCTTTTTGGCTTTTGTTTATTGTATAATAAATAAAAAGAAAACAAATAGATAGAATACAAAAAGAATAGAGGAGCTAGTGTTAGTGTTTTTCTTTTTTAAAGAAACCATCAGTTAGTAAACGAATAGAGTGCAAGTCTAAAAGGGGCAAGTTTTTAAAAAAATAATAGAATTAGAATAGAGAGTGCTAGAGTTAGTTTGAGGCTGTATTACGTCGATTCTGGCACCCAACATCACAACAAGATGATATTTTAAGCTCCTTATGTAGCCGAATCTGCGCTGGTTTGAATGGGCCTCCTCCAGTTTCCCCTTTGTTTTGCTGCCTCCAGCTAGCGCTGTGACGTCGCTGACCCTAGTTACCTGTGGTTGGCCTGGCCGTGCGTCACTCAGAAAACAACAGGCCAATCAGAAGAGAGGCTCATGAATATTAATTAGACAGGCCAAAATCGACCTCTTCTCAGCAGAGCTCCTGAGAGAGGAGCTGTAAAAATATATTGAGATGGTTTTTGGTACTTATACCGCAAATATATATTCTTAAGGACATCAAAACCTAAAATAAAACTCCAGAAAGGTGTACAATATGTGACCTTTAATGTAAAAGTCGGTGAAAGTGTTATGACCACTTTTTTGCAACTACATTTCAATATCGTGATAACACCGTATACCGTGATAAAAGCATTAGCAATTAATCGCAACATGAAAAGTTGATACCGTTATATGCCTAGTCAGGACACCGGTCACCTGACTCAAAGCTTCGAGTTAACCCTCCAGAGTCTGCAGTCTGTGATTCTGAGAACAGCGTGACAACAAGCCCCAGATATACGATCCACTGAAAGCACTCGGTGACATCACCCGCTCCGGCATTCCCGCATTCCCCGGACCGTAACAGACACTGGGACGCGTTTGTTGACATCAGCACTCAGAATAGGCCCCTGGATTAGACCCCGGCGCTGGGGAAGCTGGGATGCTTCACTCTTCACCACACTTTTCTGATCGGCAGATGATTTGCTTTCCAGGGTTTCACAGCTGCAGATATCCGGAGGATTATTATTCCGAGCGCTATCCGATAACACGGCAGAAATGTTGGGAAATCCCTGGACACATCCCTCTGTCCCTGCAGGACAGACTCCGGACACAGGAGGCTTGAAGCAGAGGACAACTCAAAACGCATTAGTGGCTCTCTGAGAAACGATAGTGTTTCAAGATCTCGTCTCGTGTTTTAAAAATCAAAAGCATCCTGTAGGTTAGCCAGAGGGTGCATTCCTTTCGGTTGTAATGAGCGGAGACACATAATCCACATCTACTGCAGCAGCAGCTCGTTTTTCAGCGGTGGCATCATCTTCATCCACCGACCGTTATTGATGTGCACTTATGCAACCCATCTAAAAGTAGATGTTTACAATCGGAGCATTTCAATTATGCACCTACTTTAAAAAGCCTAAGCTGCTTCAGCATTAGTAATGTGGCCTTATTATTCACGTCCTGTGTGCTTTTCTTTTGCATTTTCTTGTTTTTCAGAGACTAGACTATAATCATGAATCTCATGGAAAAATATCAAAAATTTCACCACCAAAAAATAAATGAAATGTTAAAAACTTATAAGAAAAACAATAAATAATAAAATCATATATATAAGAAAAAATATAAGGAAATAAATATATAAAAATTATTTTTAAAAAAACATATAATCCTGTATATAATTACTGTAATGATTCTTTATTTTAACTGCAAAGTATTGATACATCATTGAAGTACTTATTGTACTTTAATAAAATTGCTGATTTAGATCATATATCATCACTAATAATTTATATTTATTTAAATAATACTTATGTGCCATAAACAGTGTGGCCAAAATAAAACTGAAACAAAAATTTATATATATAAAAAAAAAGTCAGGATACATTACAGTAAAGACGATTTGGAAAGAAAATGTGCTTAATTGTCTTGAAAATATCTTTAATGTTTAATATATATATATATATATATTATTATTTTTTTAATTCAGATAATGACGACAAATTATTGAAATAATTTAAATAAACTATTAATGACAGTAAAACAAGTACTAATATGATATATTAATAGGTCAAAACTAATATAAAAAAATAATGATATATATATATATATATTTTTTTTTTTTTTTT